GTGTTTGTGAAACTAAGTTTTAGAAGGAATTTTTATGATGAAATCATTCAGATGTTTTGAAATTTACAGATTGAAATTATAGGAGACTGAAAATTCGAAGTTACATGCGGATATTTTTTGTTTCGTCAACGGTCATCAGCTTGTTTTTGTTAAGACAGTACGCATGGCGATACTGCTGCAAACTCGTATTGGAATGGATCTAATCGCTTTATAAATATGTCCCAGTTCACGAAATTGTTGTAGAAGGTTGAGAAAAAAAGATTTCTTTTACGTCTGTTGAGAGACACCAACAAATTAACATCATTCACAGAGTCACTGTGGCAGAAGACAGAAATATAATACATCATACAACTGCTTCAAAAAAGGGTTCATCAGAGACATGAAAACTGAAGAAATGAAATATTTTCATAGCCTATAGCAGCATATAATATGCATCAATGATTTTCTCAACCATCAAGGCTGGAGGTCTACGGGAATCCATATTGCCCCAAATTCTATTTCTGTTGTATATTAACGATCTAATGAAAAAGACCAAAAATGCAATATTTCGTTCAGTATAGCACAATTGTCTTTATTCTTTGTTTGGATGTCTCGATATCAGCTGACAAGGCACAATTTCGGAGACAAGATGTAAAGAAAATCTGGAAAAAATCAGTTTGGGTTGGAAGGAACCACGTAGAATTCAATGCTATGAAAATCCTAACCCTCTAAGAAGATGAATGTGCTGGAAACGAATAAAGTTAACGACTCAAGTAACAGACGAGAGCACTGAGCAAGGCAAATATTTATTTTTGACTTAGTGACCATTATTGACAAAATGGTTGAGGTTTCCGCTGGCGAGAAGGGCTAGCTTTTTCAGAGGTTTATAAATTCTGAGTTAATCTACGATGACTGAATATTACGGCTGCATATTTATGTTTACTCAGGTAGTTTGGTGTGCTAGAACATGTACCTTGATTAGGCCAATTTCGTAAAGCATGTAGCCCGGTATGATACCTGTGCATGGATATGGTAAATTGTCAATAACATTCTACCTCCCGTCATGCTGTTTGATATTTTGGAACATCTCATAATGGGATTCCATATTCGGTTGAGGTTCACATATTCTTTCTTTCTGTTGAAATTATCCATGTGTTTGTTGATATCTATTGTCTCCGTACCAGTCGGTTATGGTATCCCCGGTCTGGGGCAATGAGTTCTGTGTTTTCAAAAAGAATCCTGTGGTTCCCTCCACTGATTACGTGCTTTGACAAAACCGACTTTTCCATTTGGTCTGTAGTTTCTTTCATGCTCCTTCAGCCTTGTTTCCATGGATCTTTTGGTAGTTCTGATGTATACCTTCCCACAAGTGTACGGTATGCGATAAACCTCTGCTGCTGATAGAGGGTTCATTTTGTCTTTAACTGACCTAAGGCTTTGCTGTTCACACATCCTGCATATAGGTGTGTCCACTAGCCCCATATTATGGAGGTGTTTCCTTAGTTGACAGTGGCCAGTCAGAAATCCTAGCGTTGAGCATAGATTTTTCCTGGGCATCTCCAGATATTTCTTCGGCGCCAGCTTTCCAGGGTGGCCCAGGGTGATACTGGCAAGATTCCGTCCCATTAAGCATGGGTGTGACGTTTGGCTAGTTCCGCAATTGTCGAAGTCATCAGGCCGTAGGTGCCACTGGGTCCTAAAATTCTTAGTCCAATCGCTTTCTTGGCTAAAGAGTCGGCAATGCGATTACCTTTACTCCTGCCGTGCCCTTTAACTCACCTCAGGATAATGTTATTATCTAACGAGGCTTTGGCTAAATCTTGGTGGCACTCTGGTACTAGTTCTGAGGTAACACGTTGTCTGTTCAAGGCTAATATGGCTTGTCTACTATCAGTGCAGATTCCTATGTTTTTGCCAGTGTACTGTTTTGATGTTGTGGTTCCCCAAGAGTTTTCCAATTCTGTCTGTGACCCTAGGGATATATGGTAGATACGCGCGTGCAACCATCTGAGTCTTCTCCCCGTTTTGAACCATAGGACTCTTCTCTTTTATGGTTTTGTTGATACAGTGTACCCGAGATCGTTTAAACTTTATTTTGACACCCTAAAAGTTGTTTCAAAATCTACATATGGTAGTTTGTGTGCGACTATTAAAATCTAAGGTCAAAGGTCACAAAAATCGATTATTTGTACATTTTTTGCAAGTATCTCGTTTCCTATGAAGAAAATAGAAATGAAACTTTCTATAAACTTATACAAGTTTATTGTATAAGTTTGAAAATGTCCATATAGGACGAAACTGCAGTAATGTTAGATACAAATGAAAGTGGTAAAAAACATAGAAAGTTTCATTTCTATTTTCTTCATTATGATTTCCTACCACGTAGTAACAGCTACATCCATCAATTTATCGTTTCCTATGAGTTTTTCGATTTTTGTATTCATTATTAATATTGTAGAAGTTTGAATTTCCTACAACTTTTGTTTCAAAAAAATGTAATACTTTAAATCATTTTCGAGGTAGAGTTTGGAGAGCGCGCGGTTAGAGAATCATTTAAGGTGAACCGGTAGTCCTGGTCAAATACATAATTATCAATAAAGTTAATTTTTTATCAACTATTAGATTATGTTTAATGATTTTTTACTTACGTATCTATTTTTAATCAATTATCTTTTTAATAATACTTACCAGCCCGCGTATAGCCATAGAATTGTTGAGGAAAATATTTGAATTAAATTTCAAAGCTGACGTAATTTAGCTCTGTTACGCCAGCAACAACGCCAGCAACAAGTACGGAAATCGCATTCAGAAAATGCCAAAATTAGGTACTTTTTAGGTGCTTTTTAGGTACCGAAGTCATAAATTAGGTGCTCTGTAACTTACACAGCAGCTCAATACTCAAAGTTGCGTTGCTAGCAGTATGTGATGCTAGCAACGCAATGAAAATAATAGAATAATGAATGTTAAGGGAACACTATTAGGTGGTAATTAAGTGCTAAACGGTGAGGATCGTAAAATTTCCTAATTAATAAACAAAAGCTTCCAATTTCGCTAAACAACAGATCTAAGAATCAGGTCTCTCGAAAACGAGGACAATTGCTCTATCAGGTATAAACTAAGCGAGGTAATAAAGTGCTAATTAGGTGCTTGCAAGCAATTAAGATGTAAACGACCGCGAATAAATGAAAAACAGTTCGAGATATCTGATTTGAGAAAAAAAGTAACAATATGCAATAAAGTCTTGAGATACTCGTGAACTAATACAATCAAAATGAAGTGCTAATTAAGTGCTCACTAGATAAATAATAGTAAACCTAGATTCCATAATGCCTATGGGGCATAATAGAAAACCACTATGACTGATGGACTGAGTTCTTACAGTACGTTCCTCGATAAGTAAGGGTATGAGAATAAAGTGCTAATTAGGTGCTCATTAGATATTTATAGTAAATGTAGATTACATAATTCATATGGGGTTTATGGACCTGATAACCACCATGGATCCGATAACCACCATTATAAAAATGTTTAAAATATGTTTTTTTCGTTAACCAGCTATCGTAATCATTACGAACGATAACCCTCAGAAATCGAAACTTGTGTGAGCTAAGAACTAACGAGGTCTTACCTTTTAACGTGTGATTCCTAACACGGGTTGGACGATAGCAAGTGAAAATTGAGCGTTCAGCCTGGGGCTTCAACCATCGACTCACACATCGGCCGATTGACTGATTGAACAAAGCATCCACGTCGAACCGTCCGGTCGATAGCCGGGCGGTTCTAATGAGCATCTAATTAGCACTTATTTCTCATACCCTTACTTATCGAGGAACGTACTGAAAGAACTCAGTCCATCAGTCATAGTGGTTTTCCATAATGCCCCATAGGCATTATGGAATCTAGGTTCACTATTATTTATCTAGTGAACACTTAATTAGCACTTTATTTTGATTGTATATGTATTAGTTTACGAGTATCTCAAGACTTTATTGCATATTGTTAATTTTTTTTCTCAAATCAGGTACCTCATTTTTTTCACTTATTCGCGGTCGTTTTCATCTTAATTTCTTGCAAGCACCTATTTAGCACTTTATTACCACGCTTAGTTTATACCTGATAGAGCATTCGTCATCGTTTTCGAGAGACCTGATTCTTAGATCTGTTGTTTAGCGAAATTGGAAGCTTTTGTTTATCAATTAGAAATTCACATATTGTTAGCAACGCAACTTTGAGTATTGAGTTGCGGTGTATGTTACAGAGTACCTAAAAAGCACCTAAAAAGTACCCAATTTTGGCATTTCCTAAATGCGATTTCCGTACTTTGCGTTGCTGGCGTAACAGAGCTATGTAATTTACATTATTAACTTCTTGAATGAATAAAAAAAAAATGAAAATGTGCACAAAATCGATTTTTGTGACCGTTGACCCAGGATTTTTATAGTCGCGTACACCCTACCATATGTAGCTTTTGAGACAACTTTTAGAATGTCAAAATACAAGTTTACACGAGTTCATAGCTGGGTATCTCAAATTCCCAGATATTTACCTAATTTTGACTAAGGCGACTGGAGTATAGAGACAAACACATCTCTAAACAAGCCTCAAGTGATCCGAGTAACGCATGAATTGTTTGGATTTAAACTGCCGAGTGATTCAGAAGTGAAAAAAACTTTCTTTTCAGTCTCAGAAGATATTTTCATTGGTCCATTAAAACCAGTTTCATTATAGCATACACTTTATTATAATTAGACAGACTAATAATAAATCTATGGGAGGCTATAGTTTGTTTATACTTGGAATATCAATACACAGAGCTGGCACTAATCGACATATGGATTAAAATGGGTTTTATTATGTTACAAGCATGTGCAATTTAAGTGAACGAAAAGCAATATGGAAACAAATCTGTCATGTACTCATGATTTACAGGTTTTCGTCGAGAAAAAGATATACTTCGTCATGCAGAAATTAGATTGTTCTGTACAGATCACGAAAAAAGGTTTCATTCTCAAGATATTTACCTGTGCATTTCATTCCTTGATGTAAAACGCCGTAAAGTAATGACCCGCAATGGTCACAAAATGTAGGAGATGAATATGTATGCACCTTAAAATTATGTCGCGTTCTTGTGTCCTGGAAAAAATATTTGGTATAAGCGAAAAGTCTAAAAAAATATATCAATTCGGAATATTTCAGTTCTGTCTAAAAAGTGGAAAAAGGGTTTCTCTTTTCACAATGGCATTCACTAATCTATGGCACGCCGTTTTATTTTTATTGTCACAAATATCCATTCCTCAATTTATTCACCTAACAATTTATTTGTTTGAATTCAATTGATTAATGCATGTGTTTGACACATCAAAAAATGATTGTTGGCAAAATTTGTTCTATTTTAAATGACACTTGATTTGAAATGTTACATGAATAAAAATTATTATTTGAATAAAAAAGACTAATGAAATAAATTGAAGCTTTTATTGATTCCGAAGAAAAATATTGTTTCAGAGTATTGGAACGCCAATTTACTATATATTATGCTGAAAAATAATCTATATACATATAATTCAACTCAGCAATGAACAAACATTTTTATTCAATAGTCAATGGAATGTATTATTCGAGTAAATTCAACAAACGTTTCAATTCCGCATATAATTTTGACCTTTGAATAAAAGTTTAGTTATTTATATGACTCTTGAATTATAATGAAACTTTGAATTCAGTTTCTAAAAATAAGTTTGGGAATAAAATTTCAATGATTATATTTGAATGACTGTCAAAGTTTTCCCATGAAACATTGTTGGTAATAAAGATAGACATTCGTTTGTCTGAAAATATAGCAAATTAATTTTCCATTATACATATTTTTCTATGAATAATAAAGATTGTTATATTTCAATTTTATTGAAAGTGTTGAATATTTCCAACATTCACTTTAAGGATTCAATTTAAAATTTGGTTACAATTTTTGTGCGAAACATTCTCAAGCAAGTATCATTTTATTTCATCAATCTTTTTAAAAAGCTAATTTCTGATGAAAAATTAAATTTTTAATGATTTAAAAAGTTTGTTGTATTTGAAAGATACATTTAAAACGATTGTTGATAATTTTAATTCGTCGCTGGTATCGAGCGGATTTATCAAGAACTTCAAGTGTTACATATGGCAACATGCTAGTTCATTTATAGTACAACAAAACGCCGTTCAACCGTGGCGCCGAATAAAAATTATCAACAATCAATTTAATTCACGTATCACTGAAATTCAACAAACAAAATAATCCAGCTCATTTCAAAGGAATATTAATAAAAAGTGAAACGACGTGGCACGCCATTTTACTTTCTATTGGTATTTTGTAAAAATGAATTGTTTTGACTGTTGCATTTAGGTGATACACAAATTGAACAGTCTGTTGATAATTTTTATTCGGCGCTGCGGTCGAACGGATTATTACCATACTATGACCAACGCCATACATATATGCAGTTATGTAGTTCCACAAAAATACGCCCGACGTCAGCGCCGAATAAAAATTATCAACAATAAATTCAATTCATGTATCACTGTATCAGAGGAATATTAATAAAAAGTAAAACGGCGTGGCACGCCGTTTTACCCATTATTTATGCCAACGGAAATTGAGAAACAATTTGTTAGTTAACAATTGAATAACTTTTTGAAAAATGGTGATAAACCTTTTTTTCTACGGGACTCGATTCATTCAAGTGTTATGAAGATACTAGAATTTTTTCAAATTTTCAAAATGACATTTTATGTTATAAAAAATTATTTCTTTTGATAAACTCTCTTTAGCGGCAGCGCGCGCATGTCGTAACAGCCGCGCGGAACCCTATTGCCTAAATGCCCATACCTTTGTCCACCTCGTCCGCCAGACTTAACGGCCCCGTACAATTTTTGAAAAGTAGTAAATTCCTTCACTTCTTCAAGTCTAGGATTTACCTCGACTTCAAATCTTTCAGAGGTTTTTTTGTGAATAATTGAATATTTGTGGAATAATTCCTTCAAGTAGAAGTATCCCCACTCGCAAAAAATGTCTTCGAATATTCCTGAAGAATTATTTCGAAGAGAAAAATGGAGTTTCAAATCGAAACAATTTCCGAATGACTATAATGAATGTTTATTATTGAACATATAAAAAATGTCTAAGCATTGAACCGTATTACAGGGATGGACGTGAATAGAATCAGCAATTTTTTCACAATTACTGCGGTTTTTTTCCATTGAAAAGATCAAAAACAGTATGTAATAGATATAAAACATCCAAGACAAACATCAGAATTAGAGAAGGAATCGAAATATATACTATACATTCATCATTATTATTATTATTTTTATTTATTATTATTTATATTTACTGCTGACTGCTTATGTTTATGTACCTTTCATTTCATTTCTAATAAACGTGTATTATTATTATTATTATAATTACTGATGAAATATTTTCTTCATTTTTCTCCATAATGTGTACACTAAATAAATTTTGATCATACAAATAATTCAGAACTAGCCGTATCAATATATCGCATTCATGGTTATGGCGAACAAAACTATAAACACTAATTTGTTTATTTTCAGTTATAAATTCACCGCATTAAAGTTTTCATGGATTGCCGCAAGTCGCCTGACCGTTGTTGAAAATCATGGCGTTTCGGTGATTTCGGGTTTATGGTCCAAACACCAAAATATTGTGTTACGATTTCTATGAAATTAGAAGCCGATAAAACAGACTAATTCGTTTTTTTTAACACTAATGGCTCCATGTAAACATCCGGAACAAAATTATTATTCGAATTCTGTTCAAACCAGTGTTGTTCCAGCTCCAACAAATATGTAAAATATTATGTCGAAAAAACTAACCTCAACGGCATTTCACGCCGAGATGTTGGTAACACTAGGTGCTTTATCTTTAAAAGTGATAGTTGGCGCTTCAAAACTGACAGATGACGTATACTTTCAGTTATGATATGTCAACTTACATTTTTGATGTGTCAATTGTCAGTTCTGGTACGTAAACTGTCAGTTGAAAGTTTCTCAAAATATAATAAAATGGTTGAAATCGTGAATTGGCAATTTTGAACATCAAAAAGTAACATTCTATCACTGAAGTAACGCCTGGAACAACACTGCTTGAAACATGAAACTTGGCAGAGTAAGTGAATCGACTTGTTTCCCAGGGTTGCCAATATTTCACGAAATGAATTGTCAAAACGCAGAAATTGTCAGAAACCTCGACTAGAGTTAGTATCTAGAAAGGGTTGCAAGTCTGAGCCGTCTTGAGATTAGTAGGTACTTGTGGTAAGAGGAATTCAGCGACGTAATTAAAAATAAGTTAATTTCAAAATACTGAAGGTGACAGTTGAACAGTTATCTGCATTGAAAATGAAATTTAGAACTATTTTTCCTCCAATAACGTCACGCGGATAGCGTCAAAATTATTTGACATTTCGTAACAAATACAAAATAATGTTGTCAATTAGGTTAAAACATTTTTTTAATTGCACAGTACAGTACAATTGAGTTCGATAAACATATTAGATGCAAAGGTTTAAACAAATGGTAAATTTTCGTTATGTGGACACCCGGCGATTTTGAAAAAATTTTTGACTGTACTTACGTATTTTGATATCGTACCAACCATATCATTAACCTTAAAAACGTAAAATACAGTGATATGTAACCAAAAAGCAGCTCCGTACATTTTTTAACATTTTTATAAGAAAAATGTTGATTATTGAAGTGAAAAGCGTTAAAGAAGGAAGAATAAGGTGTAACAGTGACCTAGTGAATAGATGCTTGTGTTTTTAAATAGTTTATTTAGTGAAAAAGAAGGCTGAAAAGTTGCCCTTCTCTGAACTTTGAAGTGCCGTAACTTTTTAAATAAGGGAGAGCGCCGCTTTTTTCTTTCGGATTCGTAATCTACGCATCAAAATACGTAAGTACAGTCAAAAATTTTTTCAAAATCGCCGGGTGTCCACATAACGAAAATTTACCAAACAAATATTGAATTTGTTCATGTACAGTATCATAGATGGTATATAATTTACGAAAATTTTTAATACTGTTGAATAGTATTGCAACAAAGATGGAGTTGATGATTATCTGAAAAATATAAATTCGAAACAATTCACTAATGGACTTCAAATTGCTGAAAATTTTGCCAAAATAATTTATATGTGGCTACTTTGGCTATGTAATGTTTCAGAACACCGAAAAATTGTCAAGTTTTTACAGAAAAATAATGAAAATTTGAATAGAAGATAATGTTTCTGAACGCGAGTCGAGTAACAATTGTGAACTTTTCTAAATAACATTTTGCTACATTTCGCGAAATGAAGGTATTTTTTTCTTGAACAAATTCAACATTTTTTTGACTTGCCCAGTATGTTGTTTGACTTGAAGTGAAGCGATATTCAAATGTTCATTGTGCATCTGAAATATATCCCATTTGATGCAAATTTAATCACTTTGTATACTAAACCTAGAATATGAATAGAATTTTAAACTAGGAAACGGTTCACAGTGGAAAATTGACAGATTTAAGTTATTAAGCGAGTCAGATTTGGCAATAATTTGACAGCTATGGCTATTGACACTGTTTGTTTTTGTTTGTATTTTTCCCAAATAGAATTCCTGCTGGTTTTTTCTCTATATACATCTCCAAGACGGCAAGTTGACCTTCTACATTAGGTATATGCTATTACATCTCTAGATTCAATTTAGAGGTATGTCAAGATAAAATCTACATAGGTGAACCGAAAAAATTTCAGAAATTGGAGGTCCACCATTATTGGAGTCATTGACGAAATACCACTCCAAAAAAAAGTTATCGTAAATTGAAACTCGACCACTTTTACCGCTGTTACATTTAAAAGAAATGAACTTTAAACGGTCAAGCCAGTCTCAGATATACCTACACAGCATAGCCCACTGACTAATAAGAAAGTTTTTCTTCCTTATTCAGAGGAATCGGGCAAATTACGGATATACAGTTGGTTAGTGCCTCGTCCACTAGATGGAGTGACATTTGGTTGTTTCGTTTCAACTCAGGACGAGGAATGAAATTTCGATTTTCAATTATGGAATATCATTGACTTTAGGTCGATGATAGTCACTATCTTGCACTGATTAATGTCTAATGAGCCTGAAACCGGCCTGCAAGTGTGACCGTTCCAAAATTGAAGGTCGACTCTTTCAGTTGTATTTCCAATTGCATATGCAGGAAATTTTCTGTGAAAATTCCTGCACTGACGCCTGTCGGATATAATCTCCAACGCCCTTCGTGGTATTAGCCAGTTGAGTAGTTGTTTTCTGATAGGCGTCAGTCCATTTTTCCTCTTTTTTCTTAAATTCTGTCGCAAATATAATTATGTATGAGTTCATAGTCCTGTATTAGGCCACACATAACACTTACAAACGATCCACTGGAAACATATTTAAAACTACGGTATTAGGGTTTACTACACACGAGCTTGCTCTTTAGTAATTTGTATTATTGTTTTGTTATATTTGTTTGTTCAGATTGTATTATTACACACATCGTGGTGCATTGTATTTACTGTACACAGAAATTATATCTATATATGTAAATTAAACTATATTACATATTTCATTATTTCAAAATATCATAACGTACTATAATTTGATGCGCTATACTCTCTGTACTCATTTATTATATCTATGTATTTTAATGAAACAATAAATTCTATTCTATTCAACCTACTGTGTAGGTATATTCGAGACTGGCTTGAACGTTTAAAGTTCATTTCTTTAGATTTACCTAGACAGTAGGTTTAATGGACTGACGCATATTAGAAAACAACTATTCCCCTGGCTAATACCACGAAGGGCGTTGAATTATATCCGACAGCCGTCAGAATCTTCACAGAAAATTTCCTGCATATGCAATTGGTAATACAACTGAAAGAGTCGACCTTCAATTTTGGAACAAGCACGCTTGAAGATTGGTATCTGACTCATTGGCCACTCGTCAGCCCGAAACCGGTCTGCAAGTGTGCCGGTTCCAAAATTGCAGGCCGACTCTTTCAGTTGTATTGCCAATTTGTTTACTGCTTGTTCAAGCATAGTCCACCGACTAATAAGAAAAAATTCAAAAGAAACAGTGCAAGAGTGATTGTAAATATGCATTTTTTCTTGAGACATACTGAGTATTTTACCACAGTCTAGATGGCTTACAAATAATTTTGATGAAATCACTAAAGTTTTTTGACCAGATAGTATTTGTTCACCATAGTGTCTGTCGCTGATTAACAAAAAATTATGATCCTATAGATTTAACCCTGCTTTGCGGATTTTTTTTGTAATATCAATTACAATATTCTCACAACTAAAACTATTCTTTTTCTGTTTAGTTAAGAAGTTTTTCATTAAAATCATACCAAGAATAAAATTCATTTTGGCATCGTGAAATCATGTGTACTGATGCCAAATGCATGGCATCAATGATTGAGTAGATATAGACTCTTTTATTTCGTGAATGTGAGTAAAGTTATTTTTGTCTTCATAAAATTCCGAAAATAACTCTTCTTTATCACATTCCATGTAAATTGAGGATCTTCTTTCCCACTAGGTTAGTAATTTGTCAATTCCAAATTATGATATACAGGGAGATTTTTGATAAAATGAAATATAATTCATAATATATTATGAACTGTAGTCAAAACAAGTGATTTTGGTTTCATTTGAATACAAGCGTTTAAGTGTTCGTTTGTTTTAGAAAACTCTTCACAACAGTTCAAGATTTGACTCACTAAGAGTATTTTTTTTTTACATTTGCGCATTATTTGACGCGTTATTTGACCTTCATTGAAATTAGAACCAAAGCCAAACTTTTGTTGATTTTGTGTGTTATGTTGTTTTGGCTGTGCATTCTAAATCACTCAACGAGATTGTGTAATTTGAGAATGTAACAAATCTTCTATTCACGTCGGTTAAAGGCCGGGTATCTGTGACGAGAAATTTATCTTGCAAATTACAAAACCCGTAATGCGCACTAGAAGTCATAACCCAACTATTTCTGATCCGCCTCATTTTGTTTTCCCAGGAAGCAAAATAAGCTACTACCAATCCATTCACTGAATACGAATACACTAGGACTTGAAACCATTTAATTAGCACATTCAGCTAAACTCAAAATAAGCATTGTTTCGAAACACCAGAACTACAACAGTTTTCTCGACACCCTTTTCACCAACCGAGTTAGTGTTTCGAGAAGATGAAGAAAGTCAATCCACTGTTTGGATTAGACTACTTCTCACATTCTGATAAATACTTGGCATTCCAATAATGTCTAAATCTAACATCTAACTTAGATCTTTTAAATGTATGTGAAATGAAAATTTACTTACTAGTACACGAAATTCACATGAATTTTAAGTAATACTTACATCTGAATCAGCTCCTTTATCAGCTCCTGGACAGGTGAAGGAAACATACTCGTGACATCTCTTATGTACAACGAAACTACAAACTGTAAGAAAAAAATATTTCAAATTATTAATCTGCTAGACGACTCTGATAACATTATCTTCTTTTGGTGTAATTAGTCAAAAAATGATAATTCCGGTAGTGTTGCAGTGGATATCCTGGTCGATATTTATCATGAAAATTTTTTGCCAAAAAAATTATCCTATCAAATTTGTCTATTTCTAGTCATGTGTGTCGAAATAACCAATGAAACAGTCATTACACTGATAACTACCCATGGATAGTTTTCACGGGTAGTTATCACTTATGTCATGACATTGCTAAGCAACCAACACAATAAAGTTGTTTGACATTTCAGTAATTCAGTTTATTTCGAAAATGTCACTTCCTCGCTTTGGTGTTCAAAATGATGCGGCAATTGACAAAATCATTGAAGAAAATACACCAAAAAATACTGTCAATAGAAATTTGCAAAAAATAGAGAAATAATGTATTACACTGCCACCAAAAATGAAATCGTTAAGAATGAATTTATTCAAAATAAGGATAAAAAACTTATTTTTGACGCAATGCTTTTATTCCACAGAGGGATACATTGGACATTTCAAACTTTGTAGGGAATAAAATTCGTCTCGCTCCCAATTTTCCCTTTTTATGTTATCTTTTATGGTTTTTATCAGTCTTTCCATGTTTCAATAATATTTTTCAAAAATTATAATATTTTACACTATATGTATGTGATATTACATACTTTTAACAATTACTACTCCATAGTTTTTTTGGTTTTTTTTGACAAACAAACATGCCCCTGAAAGCCCCTGAAAAAAGTCACTACTTATAATACCCTCCAACAATTGAAAAATTACACTTATTTATTCAACAATATGTAAATGATGTATTCTAAAATCAAGTATTTTGCCTTTGTTCTTGACCTTATGATTTATAACGATGAAGATATTTTCACTAGTAATACCACTAGAGCTCAAATTATTTCCGGAATATTTTTCGAGCTCATGAATATTTTGAAAATTCTAAAAACATTCATGAGTGAGAAAAAATTTCCGGATATTAATTTACAAATTATTTTCTTCTTCAAGTCACCAGCGAAACATAAAATGTGTGGTCGACTTAATTGTTGAGTTGCCATGGTAACTAAGTAATTTCTACTTATTGTAGTTGTATGGGAATACCATTTCAAGATAGAAAATAGTATATTCTTCAATTTTTCATAGGTTTTGAGTACCTGAAAGTGGTAGAAAATTGTTTTTTTGTGCGTTTTTATTAATGTGGATTATGGACGCTTTAATGGTATGGAATTCATAACCAGCGTCAGCAAACATCAATCATAGGGGCTGTGATTATTGTAATTTGACAGTTCAAAACACCAAAAAAACTCTTTTTTTCTTGCAATAAAGAATATTGTACAGCCAGTAGAACCAATAAAATACTTTATTTGAAAAATTACCGATTTGAAAATCATACTTTATGCAAATTATGCATGAAATGCAAATGAAAATTTGTTCTAAATTGTCCACGAATATTTGCATCCAAACTACGCAAAATTGTAACTTTTGAATGAGAAAAAGGTGAATAAACTAGTGTCTGAATATTATATACAGTGTCACCATTAAAGTGCGCACCGTATGAGAAACTTTTTTTTCGAAAAGTTTCAATGAAGTTCAACTTCGGCACTTGTTTGTGCTTTGAATTCAACTTAAAATGATGCGGCCAACTGCGACCCACTGACGTTCAGTGTTTGTCAAATTCAACTTTTTTTGAAAAAAATTGAAAAAGTGCATTTCTAGATCGAATTTAACAAAAAGTTACTTGAAAAAGTTGTGTCTACGGCAATTTCATATCCATATGCCACTGGAATGAAGTGAACGTTTTGCTTATTTTTGACAGATATCTCCTTTATTTTAAAAAACAAGTTCGGTTAATTGTCATCAATTCATGTATACATAACAAACTCATCATGGAGTTTAACTTTTCTGATACATTTTTACTTATACGGACATTTTTAGAGAGAAATTAAAAAAGTGCTATAAAAATTTTAACATGAGTGGTGCAAAGTTTCAATCACTTGGCTATTTTCTTTAACAAACGTCAGTACCTTCAATTTTGAAAAAGCAGACACAACTCAAAAACTGCAATAAGTACTAATAAAATTACTAGAGTTGAAATTACATTAAAATTTCAATATTCAGTATTTACAGATTGTTCATAAACACTAACTAGGGCGGTAAGGATGCTTAATCACGTTGAATAAAATTTTTAAGTAGGTCTTGACAAACAAAATGCATGCTATGGTAGTGTCAAGTTGTTGATTTACTTGTCAAATTTTTAACGGTTATTGTTGCAATAATGTTGTCTCTTCAGGAAAGAATAGAAATAGTTTTAATATGTGGTGAGAATACACCATACCGGCAAGTAGCTAACATTTTTAATGAACGACATCCAGGAAAAAATGTTCAACATACTACTGTGTCAAGGATAATTTCGAAATTCAGAAAAACAGGATCCGTAGCAAATCAATTTAAGAAAACGCACACTACAAGTAAATATGATGAGGAGGCCCAACTTAACATTTGTTTAAAAGTTATTGAACACGGGCAAACGAGCATACCCGATATTATAAAAAATAACCGATTACAAAAGAGAAAGTGTTAGAAAAGATTTATTAACGAATAAATTTTGACCTCACAAGCCAAAATTTATTAACACATTGAAAGAACGAGATTTTGATGTCCGTTTGGAGTTTTCATTCTGGTTTCAAGGAGAGAAAGAAGAAAATGTAAAGTTTATAAAATAAAGGGGATATCTGTCAAAAATAAGCAAAACGTTAACTTTATCCTAGTTGCATAAAATTTGGCATATGGATATAAAATTGCCGTAGACACAACTTTTTCAAGTAACTTTTTGTTAAATTCGATTTAGAAATGCACTTTTTCAATTTTTTTCGAAAATTAGTTGGATTTGACAAACACTGAAAGTCAGTGGGTCGCAGTTGACCGCATCATTTTAAGTTAAATTTAAAGCACAAACAAGTGCCTAAGTTAAACTTCATTGAAACTTTTCGAAAAAAAAGTTTCCCATATAGTGCGCACTTTATGGGTGACACTGTATATAGGTATATTTTATTAGACATAGACACTTAATTGAAAACATTCAAAGTCCTGCATTTTCGCCATTAAGAAGAGAGGAGGTGTCCGAAGAATATAGAAAACATCTTAGCTTTGTAATTGAAATGTATCAAAACTAAATATTATGTGAACAAATAAAAACTAATCTGTCAAAAATGGTCTGTTATTGTAAACGTCAAAAAAATCTCCACTAAAATACCTTCTTTGCCATGGTGATTTGTCGAAATAACTCATTTTGATTGGTTCAAAATTACAGGTGTGGAATTTTCATGTAAATACATATTAAATGTATCAACACTTACCTTGACACTGATATCCTTGTTTGCCGAATCCCCTGCAAAAGAAAAAAGCCTTATTAAAAAAATATTTCGTATCTATACTTGGACAAATTCCCCCAAAGAAATATTTCCACGCCCTATTTACAGTACGTGAAAAGTCCCCCTGTCCTAACTTTTGAACGGAAAAAGATGTCAAGGTCGGGCGAAGTTTACATCAGAACACAGCATAAGCTTCTAATAGAGCTTCAAGTACAGCTATCAACATTTTTTCTATTGAAAAGTCGGTTTTGTGACAACACTGTTTTTACGTTACGTCCAGCCGTTCATGATTTATTAGCGATTCATTTTTTTTGAGAATCTTCAAACCATACAGGGTGTTTTTAACCACGGTACAAACTTTCATAGGCTGACTCATTTGGTCATTTTAGGAAAAAAAGTTTTAAAAAACATATGTTTGGAGGTTTCGAGATACAGGACATTGAAGTTTTGAAGAAACGTTATTTATAAATATCATAAACATCTGAATTGAAGGGGTTATATTTTAAGGAGTGATTAATTTTTGGGAAAGAAATTTTTTGGCTTCTACTACTCCATCTCGATACAAAAAAAGATGAGGGAATCTTCCAAAGAAAGGAAGGTGGTATGCAAATATTTGTCAAAACTTCAACTGGAAAGACCATAACGTTAGAAGTTGAACCATCTGACACCATCGAGAACGTGAAAGCTAAAATCCAAGACAAAGAGGGCATTCCGCCAGACCAACAAAGATTGATCTTCGCTGGAAAACAACTGGAAGATGGCCGAACCTTGTCAGCTTATAACATTCAGAGAGAATCCACACTCCACTTGGTTTTTCGTCTCCGTGGTGGTATGCAGATCTTTGTCAAAACTCTAACTGGAAAGACCATTACGTTGGAAGTCGAACCATCTGACACCATTTCTTTGGAAGATTCCCTCATCCTTTTTTGTATCGAGATGGAGTATTAGAAGCCAAAAACTTTCTTTCCCAAAAATTAATCACTCCTAAAAATATAACCCATTCAAATCAAATAAGATTCCTCATGGCTGGAATTAAATCATATAGGTGAATGAATGTCATCGATGACATAAGCAGATCAAGCTTATTCTGTGACATTAAAAATCGTAATTCATGAATGAATTATGTGTATTTTCTATAATGTTATCCAATTTGGTACTAAAGAGCCTTGGGGCAAGTGTTTTGAGGCGAAACATCAATGTATACCAATGAGGATGACAGTGTTCCATGTAAGTGCAATTTGTTACCATTCATTTAAAGTAGAACTCATGTGAATGATATCTCATTTTATTCCACAACGAATGTTTGAAATACAAACTGAGTAAAGAAAAGTATCTTCTGTATAATTCATTGTTTATATAGAAGTATTTGTTTCGAAAGTTTTTTTTTTCATTCGTGTAATTCAATGTTTATATGAAAGTAGCTGTTTCAGGAGGACTTTCTTTCAGTTTGTGTTTGACAGTTACTTCTTTGCATGATCTCTACACATCCATGTATAAAGTTACCTATTTTCAAATTGATTAGTTCCTTCCTTTCTTTGGAAGATTCCCTCATCTTTTTTTGTATCGAGATGGAGTATTAGAAGCCAAAAACTTTCTTTCCCAAAAATTTATCGCTTCTAAAAATATAACCCCTTCAAATCAAATAAGATTCCTCTTGGCTGGAATTAAATCATACAGGTGAATGAATGTCATCGATGACATAAGCAGATCAAGCTTATTCTGTGACATTAAAAATCGTAATTCATGAATGAATTATGTGTATTTTCTATAATGTTATCCAATTTGGTACTAAAGAGCCTTGGGGCAAGTGTTTTGAGGCGAAACATCAATGTATACCAATGAGGATGACAGTGTTCCATGTAAGTGCAATTTGTTACCATTCATTTAAAGTAGAACTCATGTGAATGATATCTCATTTTATTCCACAACGAATGTTTGAAATACAAACTGAGTAAAGAAAAGTATCTTCTGTATAATTCATTGTTTATATAGAAGTATTTGTTTCGAAAGTTTTTTTTTTCATTCGTGTAATTCAATGTTTATATGAAAGTAGCTGTTTCAGGAGGACTTTCTTTCAGTTTGTGTTTGACAGTTACTTCTTTGCATGATCTCTACACATCCATGTATAAAGTTACCTATTTTCAAATTGATTAGTTCCTTCCTTTCTTTGGAAGATTCCCTCATCTTTTTTTGTATCGAGATGGAGTATTAGAAGCCAAAAACTTTCTTTCCCAAAAATTTATCGCTTCTAAAAATATAACCCCTTCAAATCAAATAAGATTCCTCTTGGCTGGAATTAAATCATACAGGTGAATGAATGTCATCGATGACATAAGCAGATCAAGCTTATTCTGTGACATTAAAAATCGTAATTCATGAATGAATTATGTGTATTTTCTATAAATTTTATTCCACAACGAATGTTTGAAATACAAACCGAGTAAAGAAAAGTATCTTCTGTATAATTCAGTGTTTATATAGAAGTATTTGTTTCGAAAGTTTTTTTTTCTTTCGTGTAATTCTATGTTTATATGAAAGTAGCTGTTTCAGGAGGATTATCTTTCAGTTTGTGTCTGACAGTTACTTCTTTGCATGATCTACACATCCATGTATAGAGTTACTTATTTTCAAATTGATTAGTTCCTTCCTTTCTTTGGAAGATTCCCTCATCTTTTTTTGTATCGAGATGGAGTAGTAGAAGCCAAAAACTTTCTTTTCCATCATAAATATCCTTACACCAATTTGGTTGAGATTTGTTACAGTTATTTGAAGTAATAATGCGCTGATTTAGCCCCAAATAGATTGAACTTATTAAGTCCAGTAGAGTCTCAGTGAGCAGTGGGTGGAAAAAAAATACGTCACTGACTTGTGGTTTTTCAATTTTTTTGATTATTCAACTAATAATACAACTTTTTCATCACTTGTCATATTTAGCTTATATTTAGCTTTGTTTTCGAGAAAAAAAAATTGAAGCCACTTCACATATCACAAATACCTGCTTTGGAGACCAGTTGACAGTGATAGTGTTGTCATATCAGTGAAAGTCAGAGTGCTAAAACATTTAGAATGCTACACGCGTGAAACTGGGAGTTAAAATGGAAATGCAGGTGGTGGAAGACCAGAAACTGTTACAACCCCTGAACTTAAAGAAGCTTTTCGTGATACGATACAAGAAGTTCCTTCAAATAGTACCAGGAAGATTGCACTGCAGCTGAAAGTTTGGGTAGAAATTATTGGTGACTACTTAATTGGCCCATTTTTCTATTAGAAAGATTAACAGGTGAATCCTACACGGACTTTTCGCGAGACCATTTACCCATTTTGTTACGAGTGCCGGTACTTGTAAGAGGCAACATGTTGGTAATGCACGACGGAGCTCCAGCTTATTTTAGCGTTTTTTCTCATCAGCATCTCGACATCACCTACCCTGATCGCTGCATTGAACGTGCAGGACCTCAAAATTGGCCAGCTCACAGTAATGATATGAATCCTCTAGATTTCTATTCATAGGGTGATCTAAAGGTTCTTGTTTATAAAACTCCTGTACTAAATGTGAATGACTTGATGAACCGAATTATTGACAATGCAATGGCATAAGGAATCCTCCAGGTATTTTTGAACACAATATAGTTGTTTCAGTTGAAAGTATTTAAAATGATATTATATGAAATATATTTATAAATAATATCTTTTTTCGTTCAGAAGTTGTGAGAAAAGTACTTCTTACATCCGCACTGTATACGGAATGATGGGAAAACAACGCATCGGAAAAGAAAACTGTCTTGTACTAATAAGGAGCAATAACTTCGAGACCAATTATGGAACTCTCCAATATAACGATAAAACACTTTTCTTGGTACTCAGTATGACCTTTTCCAGAATATCAACACGACTTTATGTGTTGGCAACAAAAACGTTTAACGATGTATAACCAATTACGTCGCAAGCTGCTCGTTAATTTCAAGTGTAGATATTGTAATCGATAACAATGAAGATAAAAACTGACGAATATAATTATTCGGGAAAAATGTCTACATCACATAAATCGGAAAATGCCAACATTTTTTTAACATACCATGTTTACTATTCGTTCTCGACAGATGTAAACACTTGTAATTAAAAACATCAATAAAGATGTAACACAACTATACATTTTTTCTAAGGAAGTAATTATACGGGTCAGAGATCTTTGTGAGATCCTCAAGAAATTTGGCATATGTTTTTGTTTGAATAATGCATGTAACATGGTCTGCTTGTGTTACTATTTTTGTTGTAGGATTCTTCGATTCAACTACGAAAATAATGATTTCGAAACGAAATTTCGGACATTTTACTCAACCAATATTCGAACATACACACATCGGAAAAGTCTAGGGATATTTTTATAACATACTCAATATCATAAAAATAAATGCATGAGGTCGTTTAATTTCGATTAAATTGGTACACTCGACCACTCTGTAGATTTCTATGCGTTGAACAAAGCCTGCAAAAACGGTAACTAATCTTTTATCAAGTTTTTTACAAACTGTAGGTTTTCGGCTAAAATGAATAATCTGAAAGTGTCGAGTTTGTACATTCTATGCAGATATTTTTGACCATTTAATAAATTTTGTTGTAAGTTACATTCGTTTAATAATCACCCGTCGACTTTTTTTTCCCTAAAGCGATCTAAAAACAAATTATTGCTATTTCTAAAAATATCCCTAGACTTTTCCGATGTGTATTAAACTTGTCGCCCATTTGTCCGGCATCGGCCATTTGTCCAGCTACAACCAGCATACTGAAGGTGCTGTATGTTCGATTTCAAGGGAATTTCAGTTGACATCGAGCGGTGACAGAAACATGTCTACCACTACCAGTTCTGACGAAGAAGTCGTCATTATACTGGCCACATTATTGAATGTAGAAGAAAGTAGTCACAAAAAAGAAGGATGTGGGTCTAGCCCATTAATCAAAAGAGGGCAAATCTGGGAGGGTTTCATCATCTTTTCAACGATTTGAAAGAAGACGAGGAAACATTTTTCCAGTATTTCCGAATTACACCAGGCAAATTTTCTTGATATTCTAGAGCCTGCCTTAACCCTTCAGTAGACCGGACATGATTATAATCGGTATTTCGGAAACGTTATCGGGCGGGTACGGAACTCTCCGGCCGAGTACCTTCCATTTATGGGATGATAGATCAGTGTGTATTCTTTCGTTGACGGTGCTAGAATAGTAAGTGAGTAATTGGACAAACTGGTGCGGTGGACCGTGTGCGATTACTGTAGTCAAAATTATGGCAGAAGCAGGAAAGGCCGTTGCGTCTTTTTGAAGAAGTCCAACCAGAAGATGGATTCAATGACGAAGAGGAATTAGAAGAGGAAGATGACATTGAAGAATGGTCAGAGGGAAGCGAAACAGAGGAAGACGTTGAGAAATTAGAAGTTAGGGAAGAATTATCTTTCATTCGTGGACCGTGCTTCATTGGAAAAAACCACAAAACAAAATGGACCAAACATAGAGGACCTAAAAATGTTAGAACTCGAAGAGAAGATATTGTTTTGCAACTTCCAGGATCAAAACCATGTGTTAGAAATATAACCAATATCCAAGATATTTGGAATAATTTATTTGATTCGAACATGTTACAAATGATCGTTGATAACACGAACACTAAAATTGAGACAGAGAGGCACAAGTTTAACCGTGAACGAGATATATATCCAACAAACATTGACAAAATTCGTGCATTGATAGGCCTGTTATATCTTGCAGGTGTGAGAAAAGCAAGTCATTTGAACACTCTTGATTTATGGAAAACAGATGGCACTGGTATAAAGGTGTTTCGTTTGACAATGAACATTACCAGGTTCAGATATTTATTGAGATATATAAGGTTTGATGACATCACTACTA